GCTTATTCCCCTCCTGAAGGTCCTAGCAATGATGCGCCCCAATCACAATCCCACGAAATCCCTTGGCCGCAGATATAAACTTCTAGTCACGAATGAGGTTCAATGCTAGTCTTCTTCTTAGAGAGGGCCGAGTCCACAGCCTTTCGCAGCTGCTCGAGGTCTTCTGCATCGGTGGCCATGAGAAAGCGGTCGAGAAACGATCCCTGGCTCGGTTCCTTCTTCGGCGGGTTGGTGTCGGCCTTGGGTATCAGCGAGCACCTGGGTCTATGCCCACTGTTGACGCAGTTCGTGCAAGCGCCGCCGAATACGAGCCTGCCGCCAATCTTGCCAGCGATACATTGCACTCAAGGGCCGGAGCTGGAAATGTGCGAGCAGGTGCCGCAAGGACTGGTGTTGGTGGGCTGGATGAACATGTACGCGAACAGTGCCGGCATTTGCGGATTTTATTTCACCAGTATCGTCTTGCGGGCTTGCTTGGGGACGATCTCGCGCTGGAGCTTCTTGTCGGTCAGGATTCCCTCCATCATTGTTTGCACACTCGTGCTGTTGGAGTTCGAGGCGAGCCCCAAAACCCGGCTGGTGATCTGGGCAGCGCCGTACGGCTCATCGTCCGTGTATGGGGCGATGGGCTTGCCGTTGTACGTCCACGGCAGAGTATCATTGATGGAATTACTATTGCTTCCAGACATAACCGTGTCTTTGAGCAGCTGAGTATGAGGCCAGTCAAGACCGTCATTGCTCTCGGATATCATCAAGTTGTTAGGTAGCTAGGTTTGATGTGGCTCGAGACTGTTCTATGGAGTCCGGTGTGGTTTGGGACTGTCTTTCATCTCGGCTGTCTTCGTGTTGGTGAGCAATCTTGGGCGCGGCGGGAACCTGTGGCTATGGCGGCCCTTGCCTGTGAAGGACTCGATTCCTCCTGGCTCCATGTTCTGGCAAGGTGTGAGCAGGTCGTCCGGCATGGACTCCCTCTATTATGTAGGCTAGGAATTCACTTGTATGGATAGTAAGGAGGCATTCAAAGGCATTTGTGAGACAGCAGGTAGCGACCCCCCAATTCGCTCACACAAGGGTGGGCTCTGTGTGATTGGCTCGCCTCGCAGAATCACGCTAGGAATTCACAAAAATAATGATCGCTCGTCATACATTTTCCTAGTGCTGGGTGATAACTTCCATGGCGTCACCTGCTCGGCACCATCTGCAAGTGTCCATCAAGATATTCCAATACCGGCGAGATATTCCAATACCGGCGGCCCAAGATATGACCAGTGCTTTTACAGGGCTCCAGAAACTTAAGCAGATATACTGACATCATCGGCCGACCTGGGCTGAGCCGCTATTCGTCTCATGTGGCCGAGCGCCCTGACCGCTGCCGAACCTTTTCCCAATCGCTGGCGTGCGTCGAGGCAGCACGGTATGCGATCACTGTCGTGGTATGAAATAACATGGGACCAGGTTTATGACAGTCAGCACCGATATAAATGTTGGTACAACTCATACATGCCACCCCTCCATGCCCTCCGCTGAACCGACATGGCAGGCGGCTCATGCGCCTGCAACCACAGCAAGTCCGTCGTAGATGGTCTTTTTGACCGCGTAAAACGTTCCGCCCATGCGCGTCGCTGGCCCCCCGCCCGTCGGGACCCCGACGCTCTCGATCTCGACGCGCCCGGCCGCCGTCTTGCGCACCACCACGGACCCGTCGATCAGGAGCGTGCCCTCGCCCCGGAACTCAGCCGTGTGTCCAGAGCTTTGCATCGTCCGCCGCAGGTCGGCCAGCCGCAGCTCACCAACGTGGAGCGGCTGCGCGGCCGAGCGCGAAGCCGAAACAAGTGCTGCAGGTATCACGTCCAGTGTCGGCATGACCGCGACCTTGTCACCCTCGCCGGTGGTTGCCATGTCTTTGGAGTTCGTGGTGCCGTCTGGATTCGGCTTCTGTCGCTTGTTTGCGCCGTCCTCGTCGCCCGCCTGAGTGGGGGCTGTCGAGGACGGCGGTGGCAAGCTTTTTTGCGCCACTGGCGTTGCAGTAAGGTGTGCTGTGACCGTGACGATGCCCAGGCCACGAACAGTCTGCCATCGCAATCTCTTGACGAGAGGCTCGGACAGCTTGACAACCCAGGCGTTGGTATCGACCGAGGCGTCGACCGAGGCGCCGACGGGGGGCGTATAGACCTCAATAGCGTTACGTCGACAGTCGTCTGCTACGGCCTCGGTCTCGTCTGCTGACCCGGCCACGAGGATGAGTTTGCGTGGTTGGATTAGCGGAATCAACATGGCCAAGCTTCTGCGGTCATGGAGACCGGAAAAGTCCACATATGCGATGCGCAGGTTGACCGTGACGGCGCTGCTTGTCGTCACCAACTTGGCAGGTCCGGAAATGACCTCCTCCTCTTCATCCTCCACAGTGTCCAGCTCATCCTGAATAACCCCTTGCTGAGTCTGCGAGAGGTCCGAGTCCTCCATTGGCCCGCCCCGTTGCCCCCGCCGATTCGGCCCGCCATGACGCCTGTCGCCGACGTCGTCCCACTTGCGCTTCTGGCCGAATCCTTCGTTGAAGTCGCCCCGCTGCAGCATGTTTGCTTCTGGTCTCTCGTTCTCTTCGCGTTCCTCGGCTCGGAGATAATCTTCTGGTCGAATGAGCTCCCCGAACTCATCGGCTCTCTTCCTGCGAACGGCGAGAGGGAACATGCGCTCACGGCCCTTCTTGCCCTTGACGGGGAAGTCGTAGACTCCCTTCTTCTTGAGGAGTATCATGATGCCAAGGTCCTCGTCCTGGAGCACGACCTTCTTCCTGTTTGCCTGGCCCATCGCCGTAGACGCATTCAGAGCCTTTCCTTGTTGCTCGTTTTCCGACTCGTCCTCGGATTCGGACGATTCGGAGGAAACGTCATCCGCAACGTCGGCCGACGCCTCAAGATTTGTTGCACCCCCTCCTTGTAGTGTTGCATGAAGCTGGCGTTGAGTAACCAGCCACTGCTGATACAGCGGGAGCTCCGACTCATCCAGGGCTGCTCGCTTCGAGTCCATCAACCGTAGCTCGCGTCCGCCAGCATAAATCTGCTCAGCCGAGCCGGGCCCGCTGGACGCCTCATCTGCGGTCCCATCGCGCCGCTCCTTCCACCACTCCCATAGCTGCCGGGCTACCGAGGGCTTCTCCTTGGAGCTTGCCGAGGGCTTTTCCGTTAGAATAACCAGGTTTCTGGAGTCGTCCGCTATCCTGGCCATGACGTCTTTGGAGAAGCCCCATTCCAGGCTCGTATCGCTCGCTAGGATGACCTTTCCTCTCAGTTCGTTAGGTGTCGAGGATTGGCTCAGCACCTTTTCAACCTGCGCCTTCCTGTCCAAGACGCGCAAATACTTGAAGTCGAACGGGCCGGCGTCCCTTCCCCTTCCGCCGTCTGTGTTCCCGTTCGTCCGCTTCCCTCCCTGGTCGGCCACAGCCTCAAATTCCTGTACGATGCTGTCGTCCATCCACTCGAACATGCTCTTGGCTAGCCTGATGGTGCTGTTGACGCTGCGTCCTGCAAGGTACAGCTTAGCTGTGCCCAGCGCGCCGGCCTCGGTCACGCCGCTGGCCTCGGATCGCCATGCGTGTTCCAGTAGGTAAGCCAGCTCTAGCACCCTGGCGCTTGAGTCGATGGGGATCAGCACCGTGCCGCCCCGAGCCACGGTGCGCCTCATGGTGTCCAGAAGCTGTTGGTCGCGTGCGCCGCGCGACAGACCCCCCTCTCCCGCGCGAGCGCTGCAGATGAGGGCGGTCGGTTTCCTCAGCTGTTCCATCACCTCAGCACCTCCGCTTCCATGGCCACTGCCCATCCAGGCGGCGCCCGCGTACACGTTGTCGCGAGCCAAGTTCCAGTCCACCGCATACACGATCGACTCGAGACCATGCTGTATGTGCCATATTGTCCCACCCAGCGAGTGTCCAGAGTTGTAGGCAGTAATGGTCAGGCCATTCAAAGGTGGCGAGAATGGCGACGCCAGCGGTTGATGAGGTTGTGAGTACTTGAGGGGCTGGATTAGTGAGAAGTACTTGGCGATCTCCTCTGTCGTTGGTGCTTGTAGGAGAAAGTTGTTTGAAAACTGAGGTTGCGAGTAGGAGAAGGCGGCCTCGGCCAAAGAGGTGTCTGGTATTGTCGTTGCGGCCAAGGGCGTTGATGAGTAGAGATCCTGGATGAGTGTCCGGCCCAGGTCGATGACGGGCTGGGTGGCGTAGACGGGGATTCGCGCAAACAGAGGGAAGTGTTTGCAGCAGTGGACAAACGCCGAGAGGTGGGGGACCGTCGCGTGAGTGAGCAGAATCAACGAGAGCGTCGGAACCTGCCTGCAAGGAAAAGTCAGCTAGCCGTCCTAGAAATTGCATTGCGCGCAGCACGCGTTCTGAAATGTAGGTCAAGGATGGAGCCCGGCGTACTTTTCCAGCTCCTTGAGCTTCTCGATATCAAGAGTCTCGTCCCAGCCGACGTCTATGAGCACCTTGACGCCTCCATCGAGTTCCAGCAGCGACTGGGAGGCAGTCGCCTCGGATAGCGCTCCCTGCAGCGGGGAGAACGTGAACATGGTCGCGGGGTGTCGAATCCACGAGGACTACCGGGTCATTTTTGTGGTGTCTCGAGCACGACTCGGCGGCAGCTGATAGTGCGTTGAAAGCGTTGGCAGTGCGATCGATTGGGTTCGGATTCGGCGATGTAGGTGGGCTTTGTTGTTGTGGTTTAGCAGAATCAACTTGTCGCGAAGGACAAGGACGAACAAAAAAAAAAAAGTACTAGGGCGCTGACTTGCACACAAGAGGCGCGCGTGTGTTCAATCCAGCCGCAAGAGAATGCACGATCGCGTCAGGGAGCAGCGCCGGCTAGGATTTGGGCTAGCATCAACGTCAGCTCCAGCCAATGACGACGAGGTCGCACCTGCAGCTTCTGGAGCCTCCACTGGGACAGCAATATCGGTGTCGGAACAACGCGCCGGAAGGCTGCTCAGCCCGCTGCTCTCCCCCAGCACCAACCCCTGCGTGACTCCACCCTAAGCCTGGGAAGGTGGGGGGCGGCCCGTCAACAAGACAGCCTGGACAGACCACGTCGAAAAAGCCAGCTAAGCTCTGCGCGTGAATCGTCACATGGATTAGGCGAGAGACACCGAAAGCTGCGTCAACCCGACAGCGACAGCAACCACCGCCGCTTTCCCGCCAGACCCGGACTGAAAACAACTATGCATCCGATCGCCAGGCTGTGATTGCGATTTTTGCCGCTCGGTTTCGTTGCACCCGCCAGAGTCGCTCCTGTCCCCGCCGGCATTGGACGACTGTTTGGAGGGGCGGTATAACCCCTTGAATATCTTGGCCGTGCGCCTGGCGCTTCCCCTCCTCCGCCGTTGACCCGTTGGACGACGCGGCACGCGGCCGCCCCGGCGCAATGGCCGACTACTCGATGTACCACGCCCTGGGACAAGGCGACCAGCCAGATCCCAACGACCCCAACCGCCCTGGCCCACCCCAGTTCCAGCCCGGCGCCGCCCAGCCTCCTTACCAACAAGGGCCCGGCTACGGCGCCCCCGTCCAGCCCGGACAACCGCCCCAGCAGTCCTATGGCGGCCCTGCTCCGCCGGGAGCAGCGGGGGGCTATGGCCCAGCATCGCCCGGCCAGCAGCAGCCGCCCGCGACGGCTGGTTACTTCCAGGGCCAACCGTTGCCAGGGCAAGATGCCGACCTGGCGGCCCAGATGGGCGGGATGAACCTGGGCCACGACGCCGCCCACGGAGCGGCACGGAAGAAGAAGAAGGACAGGCACGCCTACCATACTGTTGAGGCGACAGGCTCTTCCCAGGCCTTCAACGGCATACCCCCGACAGGTACGCCGGCGACCGCGTTCCTCAACGCCGACCCCTCGGGCACTAGCGGCTTTGTTGGCCAGGTGCAGCCGCAGGTTGGTGGCATGGGAAGCCAATTCCCGGCACCGGCCAGTGCGCCGTTCAGCCCGGCAAGCACGGCATCGCCAGCGCAGTTCGCAGCCCGCAATGGCCCCGTCGAGATGCCAAGCACCTTTGTCCCCGCCTCGGGCGCAGCTAAGGTCTCGCCCGACGATATCCCTAGTGTCCCCGTTTCCCGCGACTCGGTCCAACAGTACTTCCTGGGCAATGTATACCCGACCTTCGAGCGCCATGTACCCCCACCCGCCGCCGTCTCCTTCGTCGCCTTCGACCAGGGCAACTCATCACCCAAGTTTGCTCGTCTGACCATGAACAACATCCCTGCAAGCTCAGAGGGCCTCCACAGTACCGGGCTCCCCCTCGGCCTTATTCTGCAGCCGCTAGCCAGCCTCCAGGAGGGCGAGTCTCCTGTTCCCGTTCTCGACTTTGGCGACGCCGGCCCGCCGAGGTGTCGCAGGTGTAGGGCCTATATCAATCCCTTCATGATGTTCCGGGCCGGCGGCAACAAGTTCGTCTGCAACCTCTGCACCTACCCCAACGACACTCCCTCAGAATACTTCTGCGCCACCTCGCCTCAGGGTGTGCGTGCCGACAGGGACCAGCGCCCAGAGCTCAGCCGAGGCACCGTCGAGTTTATGGTGCCCAAGGAGTACTGGACCAAAGAGCCCGTTGGCCTACGCTGGCTGTTTGTCATTGATGTGACGCAGGAGTCGTACAACAAGGGATTCCTCGAGTCCTTCTGCGAGGGTATACTGCGAGCCTTGTACGGTGCCGATAGTGACGGGCACGAGGAAGAGAAGGATGAAAACGGCGAGCCCAAGGCGAAGAGGAGCCTACCAGCCAACGCCAGAGTCGGGTTTGTCACGTATGACAAGGACATACATTTTTACAACGTCAGCGTACGTGCGGGCCTCGTGCATCCTCCCCCAATGAATCACTCGGGGATCTCCCGCATTCTGGGATTCGTGGCTACCTACCCATTCTTCTGCTAACGGTTGATCGTAGTCGGCGCTGGAACAAGCCCAGATGATGATAATGACGGATATTGAGGACCCGTTCGTGCCACTGAGCGACGGCTTGTTTGTTGACCCTTACGAGTCCAAGTATGCCGCCCAGATTCCAAGAATCTTTAACGCATCGAGGGTCTATCTGTAGCTAACCGCGTGGGAATTCTCTAGGGCCGTTATCACCTCTCTGCTCACAAGGCTTCCTACAATGTTCTCCTCTATCAAGAACCCCGAACCTGCCCTTCTTTCAACGCTGAACGCGGCTCTGTCGGCTCTTGAGAAGACGGGTGGTAAGATCGTTTGCTCCCTGTCTGCCCTTCCCACGTGGGGCCCTGGAAGGCTGTTCATGAGGGATGACGGGAAGCACCCCGGAGGCGAAATCGACAAGAAGCTGTTTACCACAGAGCACCCGGCCTGGAAAAAGGTGGCGGAGAAGATGGCTGCGGCTGGTGTTGGTGTTGACTTCTTTATGGCCGCCCCTTCTGGTGGCTACCTCGATATCGCGACCGTCGGTGAGTTTTATTTGCATCCGTTCAAAACCCTGGCGTCTCACCTCTATGCGATGCATGTAGACGTACGTACTCACAACAGATAACAGGTCATGTCTCATCGACAACCGGAGGCGAAACCTTCTATTACCCCAACTTCATTGCGCCCAGGGATAACACCAAACTGTCTCTCGAAATCAAGCATACAGTCACTCGCGAGACTGGGTACCAAGCGCTGATGAAGGTGAGGTGCTCAAACGGTCTGCAAGTTTCCGGGTATCATGGAAACTTCATCCAACATACGTTCGGGGCCGACCTGGAGATTGGCGCCATCGACCGGGACAAGGCACTTGGGGTCACCTTCAGCTATGACGGCAAACTTGATTCGAAACTGGACGCGCATTTCCAGTCGGCGCTTCTCTACACGACGGCCAACGGCGAGCGGAGGGTGCGCTGCTGCAACATTATCGCTAGCGTCAACGACAACCCGCGAGACAGCATGAAGTTTGTGGACCAGGACGCCGTGTATGCTATCCTGGCCAAGGAGGCAGCGACCAAGCTGGCGACGACGTCGGCATCACTCAAGGACATAAGGCTCAGCTTGACGGAGAAGACGATCGACTCGATGGCGGGGTACCGCAAGAACCACACGTCGCAGGCGCATCCTCCCGGTCAGCTCGTGATGCCAGAACGGCTCAAGGAGTTCTGCATGTACATGCTGGCTCTGATCAAGTGCCGCGCGTTCAAGGGTGGCAGCGAGACGTCGGACAGGAGGGTTCACGAGATGCGCATGATCCGCTCCATGGGCTGCCTGGAGCTGAGCCTATACTTGTATCCGCGCATGATCCCGATCCACAACCTCCAGCCCGAAGAAGGATTCCCGGATCCGCAGACGGGCCACCTACGGATGCCACCCGCGCTGCGGACATCCTTCAGCCGGGTCGAGCCAGGCGGCGTGTATATTGTGGACAATGGCCAGCAGTGCCTGCTGTGGTTCCACTCCCAGACGTCGCCCAACCTGATCGCGGACCTCTTCGGAGGCGGGGTGGGCGAAGAGGGACTGCAGCTCAAGGCGCTGGACGCATACACATCGACGATCCCGGTGTTGGAGACGCATCTCAACGCCCAGGTGCGCAACATCATCGAGTTCCTCCGGACGCTACGCGGGTCCAAGGGTCTGTCGGTACAGTTGGCGAGGCAGGCGATCGACGGTGCCGAGTACGAGTTTGCGCGCATGCTCGTCGAGGACCGCAATAACGAGGCATCCAGCTACGTAGACTGGCTGGTACACATCCATAAGGGTGTTCAGCTCGAGGTATGGCCCGTTGGGATTCGTCCTGTCCCTGCACTCTGCGGCTTGTTTTCTCCCTCTTGTGAACCACGTTTACCAACACATGCTGACTTCACTGTCGTGTATCCAGTTGACCGGTCAGCGGAAGAGGGAAGACAGCGGGAACGACTCGGCGCTTTCGAGCTTTGCAGGCATGCGCCCTGCATACTGGTAGGGGCAGGAAGGGTCGTCGGCGATGCGGGGATGGTCGATTGTCATTTAGCTCGAAGGGCAGAGCTCGCTTGGCAGATAGCTCGATGGGTAATGAGGCCAGTTTGCGCGAAGCAGCCGATACTATACGCCCTCACCCCCATGGTTCGCAATGTCAGTAGACGCGCATATCACGATGGGGTGTTTTTTGTTGGCGTCCGTGCTGGAGCGTTTGAGGCGTCGAGGAGGCGCATGTCTATGCTTGAGATCGAACATTCAACAAAATCTTGGGGCGGAAAAAGGGCGTGTTTGGCACTGGTGTTTTCTTCCTTTTTTTGTTGTTGCTCTCTCTTCCTACCGTCTCTGGCGGCAGCACCGGAGGTTTCTGTCAAGGTGGATATCAAGGAACAAACAAAACAATGATTATGCCAATGGTTATGTCATGGATGAATTCATATCACGTGCAGCCCCTGAATTCCTCAACACCACTACACCACACTCAGTCTGGCAACTGGGGAGCGGGCCAGTGGTAAGGGCCAGTGGACTCGTCCTTCGTTCTGGGGAAGCACAGCCGCTCGTGCCAGCCACCATCTTCGTGTCACCGCTGGCAGCTAAGTAGCAATGACAGCGCATTTGAAGCTGCCGCGGCTAATCCTATGTAAGACGATGCAGCAGGACCAATCGTCAAGGGTAAATTTGCAGTAAACTATCGAGGGCAGACCGGTTTGGCGGATGATGGAGGGTGGGAAAAAAAAAGGCTCACGAAAGCAAAGGGGTGGAGGGAAAAACTTTGTGATGACCGGTGGCCTTTGCAAAGATCGACACACCTTTTCTTTTTTTCCCACCCTTCTGGTCTAGGAGCAGGTTTTATGTGTGTCTTGAGTTTGACCATGCATGAGGAGACCGGTGAGCAGGGCCCCGTCGCCATTGGCTGGTCCGGCCGGGCCTGGGAGCAGAGAGACGGCTGAGCCAGTCTCAAGGTGCCTGGCGCCGTCCCTCCTGCCCCCCCCCTTTTCCGACGACTCCCTTTGCCATTTTTGCCCGGTCGAGTTCAGCTGGCGGGTGAGTCAAAGGCCGAGTGCTGCCTTTTTGCCCGAGTGGGCACGAAATAAGGGTACCGTTACACACACACCCAAAATAGCTGCGAATCTGCCCCGGCGGTAATTCTATCGCGCTCTTGTTACGTGCGTATGTCGCTTGTTTCTCTCGGCTGAACTTTACTTTCACTGCTCCTTTTTTGATTACCTTCTTTCGCCTTCCCTTCCCTCTTTTAGGCATCATCTCCCCACTGTCCCTCTCCGTATCAACTACAGGTGCATCCCATAACAGACTCCAAGGGAATTCAGGCCCGTCGAGTGCGCCGTGAACAGGCAGGTTACCGAGCTTCAGCGACGGCGGGCCGGTGTCCTGGGCGGGGCGAGACAGGGGCATGGCCCGGAGAAATCCCAGGAAGATACTCCTGCGCTCAGAAGGAAGCCCCATCCAGGCCCATCTTGGGGGCTACTTGGTGCAGGTTGTGTGCGTACCTGGGCACACTTGGCTGCTGTCAACAATCAAACGACAGGGGTACTTTTCTTCGTCGACGCCCCCCCGACGCAGACTAACTTCCTCTCCCTCCCCTTTTGGTCGACCGGCAGTGAGGGACGCAGGCCAAGAGGGAGCATTCCTGCGGTAGGCTGCATCATTTGTACCACCACGACTGCGTCCACGCCCACTTTGCTCAGGTGGGAGTTGGGCACCAGTCACAGTAGTAACAGCACCCGCAGCAGCAATAGCAGCAGCAAAGAGGCACTCCATAGTAGCCGAGGCAGGCCACTTTGTGTGCCCCGTCCAGCCTGATCAGGTCACTGATTCCAACCGGGCGCAGGCAGATGGCTAGCAACGGGGTCGGGGCAGCAGGGCTCCATTCTCTCTCCCTAAGCGCCCGCAATATGGAGCCACGATAGATTAAATGCGTCGCTCACCGGCTACCGCATCCGTCCAAGGTCCTCCCAGCTTCGGCATCCTTTGGTCGGTCGCGCGAGAGAGAGGGAGAGAGAGAAAAGAAAAGCGAAGGCGAAAGTTTTCACATCCTCTCCCTGTCCTTTGCCTGCGGCGGTTAGATGATTTCCTTGCCGGTGATGAGCAGGCGATAAGGCCTCTTCAGACTTTGCCGCACAGCCAGCCAGCAAAGCCAACTCCCGGCTTTCCCGAGTCTTTTCAGCTGGATTCTTCATGATTGTCGCAGTGACGAGGGCAGGTCTGAGGATTGTCACTGTTGGGGTCATAAAGGGCCCCGATAACGAATCAATACTACGTACCCATCACATATCCCCCACGGCCCCCCTGGTCAAAATTGATCAAGGTCCTTGTCACGAACGCCCAGCTTGCTTTTTTTTTGCCAGCCCACGGAAAGGAAGCCCTCTCAGCACTCTCGGCACCATGCGATGGTGAGCTGGCCGAAGCCCTCCCTCCCGGCCGACTGATGGCGACGGGCCCGATTGGCGCGTGCTGCCCAAGCCAGGCAGCCCCGAGTGCCAGTATGCATGAAGGAAAAGCCGGATGCAACGCGTCCAAGTCCCAGACTTCCGAGCTGTTGGTCCGCGGGACCGATCCGGTCGATGCTGTGCTCCCACATCTGCGCGTCACCTTGGGGGACTTTGTGACTTTGGTCCTCTTTGGTAGACAGGCCCACGTCACCCCCTGGCCTTGCATAAATATTGGATAGGGTGGCACGGCCCAAAAGAGGGCAGCCACGGCCTCTGTTCAGGGTGGCTGCTGCTCCGCCCACCCGCCAGCACATCTCAGCACGCCCGTCACCCACAAAAGACTCTCTCCACTATACAGTGGTCGTCACTCGCCCCCAGGCCCCACAGACCCTATTCTAGCCATCAGCCCGCATCTTGGCATATGCAGGACTCACTAGATTCAGCAGTCTCGCCCACAGCGACGGAGGGAGGGGGCGCTCGGACACTAGAAGGTCCCCGAGATGTGATGTATGGGATCCTCCGCAGATAAGGCAGGTTCGTTGTGCTTCGGTAGGACGGCCGGTTCGCCTCTCAGGGACCTCCCGGGTTACCCCTCCGTGCCCTTTTTAACCTTAGCCATCGGCTTTTGCTCCCTCGTGTGCCGATAACCGACCGACTTTTGCTGTTGGACGGGGAGCCTTATCCGCTCGAGTGCCGTCCAAATGCAAGCGTCCTGAAGGGAGCCCGCCCTAGCCCACTTGTGATGTGCCGACTTTCAACGCACCGGTGTTGCCGTAAGGAGCCACGCTACCAGTGGTCATGGCAGATTAGTTTGATATGAATCACACTAGTTTGAATGTACCGGCGCTTATATGGTCACCACATGTAAACATGTAAAAAGCTAGGTACCCAAAATACTCGGGATTTTTAATAGAGATAAGCATTTAGACTTCAATAAAAGAATTTGACGGTACCGAAGAGTATGGGCCAAGGCAAAGGGTATTCCTGTAATGTGGAGGTGCTGATCTACGAGCAGAACGAAAGCTTGGGTGATAGGTCTTTGATGTACATTCCTGTTTAGGAACATTAACTAGTACCGCTGACTCGTGACAAGTTTGGTAGGAATCAATGTACCACGAAACGAATTGCTAACATGGACACGATTGGCCGTCTCTGGCTAAGGGCGATCACTGGGATAACCTTAACCTCCAAGGAACGCCCGTTTGAATTGTGTTGCTCCGAAAGGGTTGTGTGGGTACTTTCTGGGGTCTCTGACCCGCGCTAGGCGCCACGCCGCGTACTGAGCCGGCCAGCAAGAACAAAAACACATTGTTACCGACAGCACTCTTTCGAATATCATGACATTCGAAAAGCATCAAGGTGGCTGGCATAAGTGAAGGAGATACGCATTTGCTATCCGAAACGGAGAGGAGAGATGACAGGATATCTGTTCAACTTTAGATGAGAAGGAAGAGACGGAAGGGACAGGGAGAAGAAAAGGGGGAGAAGAAGGAGAAAACCAAAAAGAGCCCCAAAAAGACAGGGCCAGCGCGAGACCCCACGCCGATTTCTCGTATTGCGTTCCCCACGCCAGACATTTCAGAAGCATAAAATCAAAGCCTCCATGCGAGCTCCTCCACACAAATGCCGGGGAGCCTCGAACAAAGCCAGCTGGCCACCCCCCATTAGACTGTAAAAAGCACATTGCCCAAGCGCCATCGAGCAAGAGGAGGGCGTAAGAAAATGACGGAAACGCCGCAGACCCACCAAAACATGAAAACAGAACCAGCCAGCCAGCCAGCCCATAACGGGGGTCCAAACAAACAGCTTGCCGAACAAGACTGTCTATCCCAGTCTGAGGGAAAGCGGAGAGTGACTCCGGCAGGAAAGCAGGCAAACAGGCAAGCAGCCCGGAGTTCCTCCTAGGTACATGCCAAAAAAGGAAAGCCGCGTGATGCCGAGGAGACGTGAAGGAAAGAGAAAAAGAGTGAAGCGGCGTGCCAAAGCAGGGAAACGAGAAAAACACGCCACAAGCTGGAGCTACCACCCTTGTCACTAGCGAGAGGCTGGCCAGTCTCGGTGCATTGTTTGTTACCTAGACAGGCATGGGTTTTTCTTTTTTTCTTCTTTTTTCTTACACAAATAGAAAATCTCAGACGAGGTTACTGGGACTTTTATCGAGGCACACAAAAAAAAGTTAGCTCGGTATAGGGGGGGGGGGAGATAAGGGACGGAACTGGTTCAGAGTAGCAGGGAAAAGTCAAGCAAGTCAAGAAGAAAAAGAACGCACTGGCACAAAGTACTGGCGAAACAGCTCAAAGTCTGAGAGGGGCTCCTCGGCGAGGGCGGCGGCCAGGAAGGGGGTGAGGCTGCCGCCGCCCCTGCGCTGCTTCTTGGCAATGTCGTCGAGGATGAGGCGCTGAGTGCTCTGGCAGCCGTCCTCGAAGATGAAGGCGATGTTGTGGATGCGGCCCCGGATGGCCGGGTCGCCGTTGACGACCTCGTGCCACATGGCGGCGGCCTCGTAGGGCGGGTTGCGGTACCCGTTGCCGAGCCCGAAGTCGCCGACGACGATGTTTGCGATGCCGTTGGCCAGGCAGATGGCGAGCGCGCCCATGATCTTGTCCCGCATCATGCCCCGCTCGTCGGCGAACGAGTACTGTAGCCAGCCACTGTTGATGTTCACTTTGGGCCAGCGCACGGGCGGCACGGAGCACACGGGCAGGTCGCGCCACAGCTCCTCGTCCATTGGCTCTGACCGGTCCTTTTCTGTCCGGAATACGACTGTAGGAGGGGAGGAGGTGAGGGGGGCGTGCGGGTGGTGGTGGATAGGTGGTGACACGTCAGCCAGTGAGCCTCGGAGATCTTGGTGTGTGGCCCTCTTCCGTCTTCCCACCCCTGGGGAGGGGGAGGGGAGGGGGGGTGCCGGTGTGTTCCACACAGATCCGGCATGGAACCGATGGCCTCAGCCAAGGTTGCAAGTGTGGGTGTGGTTGTGATTTTTGTGTGTATGTGCCTTGGGCCAGCTAGGCGAGTGGCCAGACTTACCAACGTTCTCGCTGAATATCCCTCCGCTTGTGGACATGGGGAAGGCCTCCGGAGTTGGCGAGCCGGGGCCCGGAGTCTCGAGGGTAGCAGACAACGTGCTGCGGCGACATAGCCTCTCTTCGTAGCCCGCGACCCCAGTAACCCAGTCCCCGCCCGCCCTCTTCTCGTTGGCAGCGCAGATGAGGGCCACGCGGGTCGAGGGGTTCTGGGCCTCCATCCAGTGAAGCGCGTAGTTGACGGGATCGCCAACAAAGACGGCTGTAGAGTTGGACCCCCCCGGAGGGGTGGCACCGTTAGTCCCCTGGGACCCCATCGTGGAGGGGATTTATGGGGCTGCTGTCACGCGAAGCCCACCCGATATGCTCGGCCCGGTCGACTTACCGAATGGCGTGGGCTCCACCAAGTACTCAGGTGGTGGCAGGGTGATTTGCGACATGGGCTGCTGGTAGTAGTAGGAGTAGGTCTTCCAGCGGTCCGCATACTTGCTCTTGATAAGTGGGATGATAGTCCGTCTGGTCTCGTGCGCGATCTCCGAGGCCTTGGGCTTGAAGGACCTGGAGGACCCGCCTACGGTAGGGCCGGAGGGAGGCATGCTGGTGGTGATGGTGGAGAGGAATGTCAGGGACGAGAGCGTGTTTTGTTATTGTGTGATATCAATACGGATGCTGAGCATGTGCTTGTCGACTTGTTCTCGTGGAGAATGGAGAATGGCAGAACAAGAGCGGCTTGATCAAGACTGGTATTCCTGGAGAAGCTGAGAAGTGATCGATGGGTCGAACATGCAAAGAAGGCTCCATCTGGCATCTTATATATCCGCCATATCGAAGAGAAAGGCGCAGAGACTTGGGAGGAATCGAACAAGACGTCCAGTTCCCGGTCCTGACCGCTCTTGCCGCGGGAGATCAGTACCGTTCCACACGGTTGTCTTACTGGCGGGAGCTAAGCCCAGAGGTACCTTCACGGGCATACATGAGCCCAGTTTCCCCTCACCCTGGAGGGGAAGGAGAGAGAGTCCTTCTCGCGTATCCTGCGGCCTCATTCTGGCATCACGCTGCAGTTGGGCGACAGAAAAGCAAAGAAAGGAGCGTGGGATGGATGTGCGCTAGCGGTCGCAGTAGGACCTCACGCGGCCGCACATAGGACACGCATCCTTGCGTCCAGGCTCATATCAGAACAGCGCGGGTCGATAAGGTCGAGAGGGAGGGGGGGTGTGCGTGGGTAGGCAGGGTGGGCTGGCTGGGGGAGGATGAGGCCCGACGCTCGCACCCTAATCATACCGGATCGGTGGAACCAGGAGGCGAGCCGGCGCCGCGGTCGATGGGACCCTGGAGGGCCTGGGATGATAGGGAGGGGGCCCAGCCATGGATGGGGCAAGGGCAGTCGGGAGATGATGGGACCGGTGGGCGGAAGGTGCACCAGGCTGTGGCCAGCCGCGTATGACCAGATCTATCCTGTTGTGTAAGCCTAACACTCCATCTAGAGGAACCATGAGTCTCAGGTCTTGTGTACGATCAAAACAGCCACCACACGGGTCTCGAAAGAGATTCGACTCAGTCGGCCTTCCTTCCGTGGCTCGAGACGGTGGGTGTTTTCCACGGCAAGCGAAAAGCACGTAGAGGCCATCTCGGACGCAAGAGCAGAGGGGAGGGAGGAGGGGAAGGGTGGGAGTGGTCGGCGGGCTTGACCCTGTGCCACGAAGGTCGAGGTCCACTTTTAGGCCGACACCCCCCTCGCCGTCTCCGTCACCGTCCCGGGTCTTTTGCGCTAAGTCCTTGCCCTTACCGGCACCCTTACCTTCTCTCATACTCCCCATCCGTCTTCGAGCTCTCATCACCATGCCCTCCTTCAGCTGCCCTGACGAATGAGAGTAGGGACAGCGATCGATACTACGACTGCAAGTGCATACGTGTGTGTCCGCAGTGCACGCCAACCGTCTGGCGCCTTGGCCAGGCGTCTTTTTTGGCTCCGTAGGGCGTCGACATCCTCTCGACGGATGGCACTGCCGTGTGTGGTGTGGCCCCGGCCGGCGGCCACCATGGCTGCTGGTGACTGACTGGGTTGCGGCAGGCAACTCTCGTTTGGCCAAGCCAATGGACCAGTTTTTGGAGCCCCCAATATCACCGGCAGAAGCAATGTTGAAGACACTAGCGGAGAAATCAGGCTGGGCACGTCCGTCTCCGCTTTTTCCCTACAGCAGACGGTGAGATCAGATCTTGCTGGCTGGCATCTTGTTGGTTGATACCTGGACTCCTCCTGCCGAGAGGAGGCAGGGGGGCGGGCGGACGAGCAATAGCAGGGAGGAGACGAATATGTCATGGAGGATTCTTGAGAGCTCGCGCGGACGCAAGGGATGAGTCCTCAGTGCGTGGGTGACTGCCGAGCCCAGCCCAGCCCTTCTGCAAGCCATGAACGCCCATCCAAGGATATGCCCTTGGTCTGTAGTGGTCGACGGAGTAAATGCTCCAGGCAGGGCGGTTTACGCTTGCTTTTTTTTTCTATTCTTTTCTCCCATTGAAACCAGTCTTGGGTTGCGGCTCTCGTGTCTATACAGACTCTCCTCTCTTCCATGACGTGCTGAGAGCACAGCACATGGCCTCGGCAGCAATGCCAATAAGAGGCACAGCCCAATGCAAGCGCACGCACTCCATAGACACAAGGCCCATGCTCGAGCCGTTGCAACATGGGCACGCGCAGAAAGAATCCACCATGTCTTGAGGTGTGGAGGAGGCCAGGCTGGTGCAGGATCGAGATGGGTGCTTGTTCTAAGCCGCCGCTACTGTGTGCGCGCTGCAATAGCAGGACCCAGCCCTCGCCCAGGGCTAGCAGCGGTCAACAATTGAATCGAGCTAGCCTGGACTGAGAGGGGGTGGGCCCGTACCCACCCAGGACCCTGGTAAGCGCGTTAACGCTGGTGGAATCCGACTGGCCCGTGCATGCGTTACACAAGACCACCACCCACCAACGGGAACCATCCAGGCAGGCAACCTAAGCTTGATCGAGCTTGGAGCCAAGCTGAGCTTCAGCATTGATTTTTTTCTTCTCCTCAACCTCCACAGCACAACTCGAAGCGTTCACCACCGCCAACTCTCGCCCTACTTGCCCCATTCGGGCTTCGTCACTTTGCAACAGCGGCTCGTCTTGACCCCGCGTCCCTTCGTTTCTTTTCTCTGTCTTTTTTTTTTCCACGGCCCATGCTAATCGCGATCCATCCCTCCCCCACCACGGCGCGCCCCTCGACGACATCGGCTTCCCCTTTGCAGACTCCACCGCCCATCTCATAAGACACCACCTCCCGTATCCCAGACACCCCCGGAAATGAGGCCGATTGGCGGTTGTCTCTCAACTGCAGCCGGCAGCACCTGCCGTCCGGCCGCAAGCCGCCGCTTTGTTGCTGCCACTGCTGGTGCTGCTGCTGCTGCTGCTGCTGCTGCGACGGCCCCCTCGCGCTGCCTCGGCTCGACATGGCGCGCTCCTGCCGCCGCTATCCTCCACCACCGCCACTACTCGTCCTACCCGTCCTCTCCACCCCCCAGCTCCCAGAGTGCCCCGCGCCACAGCATTGCAAGGCTGTTGGAGTGGGCTCCCGAGAGCGACGTCCCAGACGTGGTCGTGAATGGATACATCCGCTCTGTGCGGTCCATGAAGACTGCCTCGTTTGTCTCGCTGGCCGACGGGTCCTCGCTGAACGCTCTGCAGGCCGTCGTTCCCGCCGACCAGGCTAGTGGGTGTGTACTACCGTGCCGTCGTCGCTCTACCACACCCCCATCCGCACATTATTGCCCACTTGGTGTATTTGCATTTTCCTGCTATACTTAAAATCATGGTTAATTTTCTCGCCTTCCACCGCCTCTTTGCCTGACAGTGGCCGCCCGCCACTAAACTTGCTTGCTTTGTGTCTCGGATATCTGATTGCTTTTTGGTCTTGGGTCTCTCAGTCTCTCCGTTGGCGCTGCCGTTCGCTTCGTCGGCTCCTGGGTCAAGTCCCTGGGCTCGGGCCAAAGTCACGAGCTCCGGGTCGACCGAACCGCCGTCGTAGGGCCCTCCGATGCCAAGGTGAGGGACCCTGGATCCAGGGATCGGGAACGGTTCCTGGCCTGTCGCTGCTGTGGCTCTCCGTCGATCCTCGCCGCGTGACCACGCGGTCTTTATTGGAGCAGCACGACTGACCGAAACGCCACTGCCCCAATGCCCCCTCCCCTCGCAGACCTTCCCTATACAGAAAAAGTACCATACGCCCGAGTTCCTCCGCACATTGCCCCACCTCCGCTCCCGGACGGCCTTGAACTCGGCCCTGCTCCGTCTACGGTCCGAGGTTACCCGCGAGGTGTCTCAATTCTTCGCTTCGCGCGACTTTGTCCAGACACACCCGCCCATCATTACATCGTCTGACTGTGAGGGCGCCGGGGAAGCCTTCACTCTTCGCCCAGCAGCCGACATTGCCATCAGCGACTGCGACGGCACGGGCGAGACAAGTGCCTCCGCACCGCCCTTCTTTGGATCCCCAAAGTACCTCACTGTCTCGTCTCAGCTCCACCTCGAGGCGCTGGCTCAGTCGGTCAACAATGTCTGGACCCTGTCTCCGACGTTCCGGGCAGAGAAGAGCGACACGGCCAGGCACCTGAGCGAGTTCTACATGCTGGAGGCCGAGATGGCCTTTGTAGACGGCATGGATCCCGTCATGGATCTGGCGGAGGACCTGCTCCGGTACGTGACCCGCGAGCTACACGGCACACGTCTATTCCACGACGTCTGCCAAGGTCGCTCTGTCAAGGACAGCGGGCACGGCGGCGACATGTCCTCTGAGGAGATTGGCAAGCGCTGGGGCGGGCTCATGTCGGCAGCCTGGCCGCGCATCACTTACACCGACGCCATGGCGCTGCTGGAGAAGGAGGCGTCGAGAGAGCCCAAAAAGTTCAGGTTTGCGCCCGAGTGGGGTCACGGGTTACAAGCCGAACACGAGCGGTACATCGCAGACGTTGTCGGCGAGGGGACGAGGCCCGTCTTCGTCACACACTATCCGCGCGGCATCAAGGCCTTTTACATGCTCACGTCCTCATCGTCACCCGGTCACCTTTCGGCCGGCGTGTCGCCGTCGGGGTCTGCGGACGCTGGCACGGCGGAGCGTGTGACTGTGGACTGCTTTGACCTTCTTGTTCCGGACCTCTGCGAGATTGCGGGCGGATCCATGCGTGAGCACCGCCTGCAGCCGTTGCTGGAGGCGATGCAGTCGCGCGGCATGGTGATACCGGCCGCGGACGCAGGCGCCCGCCAGTCCTCCCATGGTGCCAGTAGCGGAGATGGTTGGTCCAACCCTGGCGTCACCGCCACGCCTTCGCCCACGGTGGGCGGTGGCCTGGACTGGTACGTCGACCTTCGTCGATGGGGCTGTCCCCCACACGGCGGGTTTGGAATCGGGTTTGACAGGCTGCTCTGCTACATGTCGGGTGTCCAGACGATCCGCGACATGGCCACCTTCCCGCGGTGGCATGGCCGATGCGACTGCTAGACGGTCACAAAGGGGGAAATCGAGAGCCAAGGCAAAACAAAAACGGGCTTTTCCGCAAACGGGCTTTTCCGCCTGTGCTTCTGTGCCCACAACCAGAACTTGGGTCGCCCATCGCGACCAAGCCTATACTCGGTCACTCAAACTCGTGCTCCCATACCCGCCCGTTTCTGATCTCGATGTGGGCGCAACGCCGCCTGCACGGATGGCTGCCTGTCTGGGGCAGCTTTTCTCCATCGCCACAGATGTTGTGCTCGCCAGAGCCTGCCTAGCCTGGACTACGGAAATATAACGCTGTGCGACATTGTTTTATGTCTGTCTTACCGAGTGCTCATCGCCTGGGTACCTCGTGCCTACCAGGATGCTTGGGGAGCCCAGTGCTAATCTCCTCCCGCCCGTCATGATTCGTACGTGTCTCTGCCAAGAGCACGGGGGGTCTGTTGTCAAGATGCGGGATCCTGCCGCTTCCGACCTTCCCGTCTGCCAGACGCGCGCCCATGCGGAACGACGAAACCAGAAGATCGGGAAGGGATCCCATGCGCCTGGCGCTTGGAAGAAAGATGGGTGCCATGTGACGAGCAGACTCGATACATGAGATTGGTGCAGGTCGCACCGCCTGTCTGTCATGTATGTCCTTCTTTTTGTTGTGTTTCGTGTCGCTGCCGCCGTGGCACGCGCCCACTCCCTTCCTGTCCCTCCTTACGGCCTTTACCCGTTCTCGGGCGGACTGTGGCACGCCGGCGGCAAGCAGCAGCGCGTGTCTTGGCTCCATGGCACGGAGATGACTCGCATCTATACATACACCTCACCCCCCGGGCCCATTCTACAACATTGGGGCGGCCGGGGGGGCACCGCGTCTGCTTTGTGCTACGCAAACGAGCCTACCCGGACTGTCGGCCCATCAAGGCGGAGGGGGGTGGGTGCTGTATGCGTGGGTGTGTGTGTGTGTGTGTGTGTGTGAGAGAGAGAGAGAGAGAGAGAGAGAGTGCGAGACGGCTGGACGCTCTCGTCTAGGCGACTACTGACTGAGTCGGAGATGCTTCATTGTCCTCCCGCCTCGACGAGACTTCCCTAGCTCGCCAGACCTGACCTGTCTCCCCGTGGGCAGGTGGGCCTTGTGTTCTGCTGCCCCGTCGTCTCGCTCGGATGGTCTTGACCCGACCTTTGCGTGAATCCAGTTTGGTACATCAAACTGCCTCGTACCGGGAACATGGTACCGGGCGGCTTGCAGACACTACGGACGGATGAGCCGGTTGCTTACAGACAACGGCGCATCGGCGCTTGGGCTAGGGCGGGGCTTCCGTGTGTCCTCGGCCCTTTGGATGCTTTCTGGGCCCGTTACTCTCGACCGGCCTTGCTCGGTTCCTCCATGCTTGACCGCGGTCTCATCGCAGATGTATGCTATGGTCTCAGCATGCAAGCAGCGTTCTTGTCATACCCTTGATACACTGGAGCCCCTGCCCTCCCCCAAGCCCATAGGCTTCTAACGGATGGGTTGGCAGGTTGTCATATTGAGTCCCTGGCCGTCTCCCAACGTTGCACAAAAGACACGCACGGAAACGACGAGAGCGGAGCCAACGCCTTCGTGTTCAATATATTCAAAATATGTTGGACCGGGTCCATGGGAAGTCAGCCAGACTCTTGCCCAAGATGGAAAAAGCGCCCGACGGAGCGCCACTCCCCCAGTGCAGAAAGGTCTCTCGGTCGCCGACATGTCTACCCAGGCAGGCACCAGTTTAAGGCGTTTTATCACGGCGTTACTGTGACCCAAAATCGCCATGACCGTCTCCACAAGCCGTGTGCTCGCTAATCCCGCCCTGCCGCCTCGGGGTGGTGGTCTAGGATAGTTGGGCCACAGCAAGACATGCAGCCGTTTGCTTACTCACTTCTCGGTCGTTGCGTAGCCTCGGTGACTCGGGCAGCGTGATACTTTCTCCCCTCCCCGTCCGTTGAGGGCTCGGTGTAGAGAATGCGCCCCATCTCCCTTGTCCATGTTCCCTTTCGGTCTGCGCTCGGTCTATGCCCCCCGACTTGCAGGCCCCGAGGCTGTATGGCTGCGCCCGTATCTCGCGCCGCCGACGGCAGTTACCCCCTTTGGACGGTGTGCTGTGCGTCGTCACGGCTCGGCGGCAACCACGAGCACAGACTGGGGGGCAGCATCAGGAAGACCGAGCAGCTATACACACAGCGGGAACATCCACGGGCGGTTTACTGGTTCCCCTCTCGGGGACACCCCCAGCGCACCAGGCCGGCCATATACGGTCATTGCGGTGACTTTGCATCTACCCCCTTTTCCACAAAACCCAAAGTCCTCGACAAAACAAGGTACGTACAGCGAGGGGGGGGAGGGAGGGCCGAATACGTGTCATGATGCCGTCCAACTGGTGCAGTGGCACTCCCCCCCAGCACACGACATGGAAGCACGCGCTACTACAACTCTGGCCTGCTCTCGGCGAGCTGGGGAAGCCGAGTCTGACCGCCAGCCTTGCGCGTCCGGTGTGCTCCCATCCTGGCCGACCGGTGGGTCGGTCCCGTCGGTCGGACTCGGGGCCTCCGGGGGCCGTCGGAGAGCGGTAGTGCTGGGAGGGGGGGGATTCGGTCATGCACCAAGCACAACACACGACACAGCCTTACTGAGCAAATTGGGACTCCAGCACCGACGTCGTATTCTAGCAAAACAAGGTCTGCCGGACCCCCTGCTCGCCAGCGGAAAAAAGAAAAAAAAGAAGCAGCGAAGGAAGGCGGGAAAGGACCATGTCGAACCCTCGACCGGGAAGCCCTGCCCTGTTGGAAATTGACTTTTTTTAACTCTAAACTCGCCGGTTCGCTGGACGGTCACCATCTCTCTCTCCCCCCCTTTCCTCCCATCTGCCGTTTCCTCCACCACCCCCGCCCCAGTTGGCTGTCACCCCCCTCCCCTGTCCAGCATCATGAGTCGCTCCGCGTTGCGGTGACCCCGGACTTGGGTAGCCAAAGCCTGACAGGTTTGTCACAAACAAGACAGCCCAACCTAAAAAACCCAAAGCCCACATCGAGCGCCCGCCCCCCACCCCTTACCGGGGGGGATAGGGTAGGCTAGGTAGGTTGCGTGGCAAGCAACACCCGCCCCGCGGAGCCCGGCCGTCCTGGGCCAGGGATTCGCTGGCGGGGGGGGTGGGAGCGGCGCTGCGAGAGGGAGGCGTGGCACGTCGCTCGTCGTTCAGGGCGTCCCTTGCCGCCCACACCGTCCGTCCGCGAGAAACATAAAGAGAAAAAAGTCAGGGACCATCCCGGAGGGCGCGCCCACTTTGCCGTGTCAAGAGGTCCAAGATGCGCATCAACCGCCCACCCCCCCTCTTTCCGGAAGAGGCAGCAGGTCTACAATCTTTGGCACCGGCTCAACCAGATGACGACAAGAGTTTAAAGAGAAAACATACAGTATCCGGGCAATGCTGAGAAAGGGGGGTGACCAAAATTGGACAACTGACATTGGCGGGTGTACCTGACAAATATGTTTCCGGTTGCGCAAAAGACGGTTGAAATGGCCAGGGGGTGTGTGAGCGCGGAATATCCCGTCTGACCAGGAAAGAAAAAGTACATGCAACTGCAAGAGGAAAGAAGCGGTTGCCCACCACCACCACCACCACCACCCCCCCCAAACAAGGCTAAACGCCGTCCCACTGTGTGTATGTGATGCGTGATGGGAAATGGATAAGAGCTTGTCCGACAGATTAAACAAAGGAGCCAAGGGGAGCATCACACGCATGGCCCGCCCGTAGATCGGCGGTTTGCAAAGTCAGGGCCCTAGCTGCCGCTGCCGCGGCGGCCGCGCCGCGCCCCGTTCCCACCTTTCGGCGTTTCTTGTTTCGTTTGGGGCTGGTTTGGTCGGCGCCGCTCGCCCGCGCGCGCGCGCCCTCCGCATAAACAAGACGATGCGGGCCAAGAGGCTTGGTGGGATTCTTTAGGAGGGGGAAGGAGGAGGATTGTTTGTCCTTTGCTACCCACATTTCCGAGAGGGCAAGACGGATGGTGAACGGCGCTCAGCCCGGATGCTACAGGGAAGAACCTTTTGAGAGAGCCCCGAGTTATGGTGGGTCTTCTTATTGTTATTTTTATCGCTTCTTTTTCCCAATTTCCTTGCGTCATTCCTCATCCACCCATCATGTTCCCCCAGCGTCCGGATAAAATGGTTCAAAGGGAGTTGTGTGTGGATGCCAGCGTGCGTGCGTGTGTGTGTGATGGCCAAAGAAAAAAAAACACGGCTCCTTGTTGCCGACCTCAGCAAGGATGAGCGGCCGGCCAAGCTCGGAGCCAAGACTGTTCAAGCAATCCCTTCCCCCCTCCCATGGGACGATGAACAGGCCGTCGAGATTAGCACGGATCGCCGCACCGCACCGGGAAAACACATAAACGAAAGGAAGGGCGAACCAGGGGGTTACGACGGAGCAAACCGCACCATTTCGTCCGTCGAATCGACCATTGCTAATGGGCCTTCACCCCCCCCAGACAGCCAAGGACACACAAATGAGTGTCTGTTCTTTTCTTCCTTGGTGTTTGCACCGTGCCTAGCCTACATACGTAATGTGCCGCCTTTTTTTGCGGCCAAGGGTGTCGATCCGCCGTGGTGATAGGCCAGCGAGGGAGAAAAAGGAAAGAGTGGGGCCGACAATCAGCCCGCGCTTCTCTCGACCCCGTCTCATGCAGTGCCCTTCGGTCCTGGCGGCGGCGGCTGGGCGTCCGTTTTTCCGGCTGCCTAGCTCGTTCCCGCTAGCGATAGTTTGGAGTGTGATCAAAACGCATACGGGGCTATTTTTTTTTTTTTGCCTTGTTCCCTCGGGATTGCGGCTGGCGGACGCGACGTGCGGGCGGAAATGCGGGAAACAAATGGATTGGTTTGGAGATTAGGTAGCCGCGCCCCACCACCCACCCACCAACCGTGCCCCCTTCTCTCCGCAGTTTGGTGTGAGAAATGTAAAAATCCGCTACACGGCTTTTGCGAATCCTAGGATAGGAGAGAGGAAGGACAGGACAAAAACGTAACGTAACGTAACCGGGAGCTTGTCAGATGGAGAAAGAATGGGCGGGCCATTTTTGGAAACAGCCAAGGTGTCGAATCAGGGCGCAAGAACGGACCTTGGTGGACTCCCACTCCCAGAGGCTGGATTTCGGGTGGCGCGCTAGCGGGTGCATCTCTGAATTAAGCTTAAAGCGGGCACACTCCTCGTCACGCTTTCCTTATTTCCACGCCGCAGGGCCATGACCGGCCATGACCGACCAACCAACAACCAGTTCCAGCCCAGCGCGGTCCCACCCGTTTGCCTTGCCCCACCACCCCTCACAAAGGACCTGGGCACTGTCTGCTGACATGTTGCTGATGTCACTAAGCCAACCAAAGATCCGCTCTCCCCAAGCCCGTTTGGGAAAAAACACTGCGACTTTTTTCCTTTTTACCTTTTGCCTTTCGCCTTTTCTGTTGACGCCCGTTTTCCCTCCTCCGCCAAGCCAGCTGGGCCGATAAGCCTGGAATTAGCGTAGCGCCCCGAGTTAGCGAGTTGCCTCGTGCTTCTTCTCTGGCTTGGAAGAGGCAGGCGGCAGCTGGTTGAGCGTGTTGGGAAAAACTTGTCGCCGGGCGGGCAGGCTGCCATGCAACCACCCAGCCACGTCTCGGCATGTTGTCGGATTACGCCTTGTTCGTTTTCTGCCGCAGTCCCCATCGTTGCCTGAGCGCCCACCCAGCCTCGAGGCACCTTGGTGGGATGGTTGTGGGCGTGTGTCGCTTTCTAGGTCCGAGTTATCCGACGAGCCGGCAGTTCCTCTGTTTTATTTTATGTGTCTCTTTTTTCTTTTTTCGCACTCTGGTTTCTTCCGTGATCGCCTGTGATTCGCCGTGATAGCAGTCGCTCGCGTGGCAGAGGTTTGGGTCGGATTTCCTGACTCGTCGACTGCATTCAATAGTGGCCGTGATATATTTCTGCCGGCGTCGACGACGTCTCACGCTTCCCTCCTTTCACTTGCTTCTTTGCCCATTTTCTATACTTGCTTCTTGGAAATGGTGGGAAAAAACCAAAAGGGGATCCCGATCCCTTCGATCTCCGATCTGCTGCTGGCTGACCACCAGCCTACCCCCGCCAAAAAGCACACACACCCCTCTTGTGTAAGCCGCCGGCCCTCAAGCCCGGATCCAAGCATGGATGCCAAGAGCAGAGGTGGTCTTGGCGCCAAAACCATAAATGATTGTCGGCAAATGATTTTGGGGCAAGAGGAATAGGTTGGACCCCATCCATTCCAAAGTCAACCCGAGCCTCGCACTTTTCCATCATGCTTACCGAGACCGAAATTGGTTCGCAATGCCAAGCTGAGTAAGGTCACACATGCGAAGGGTATGGATGGATGGATGACCCAGCACGCGCCCAAACTCGAAAGCGACAGGAAAGCAAAGATGGTGGGATAACTAGACCAGATGTCTCCTCTCGGCTGTCGAGAAC